TTTAGGGTTAGTGGTTCTGAAGGTTTATCTAAACTTCTGTTTTTCAACATAAGGTTTATTCTGACTTGCCTTGAGTTTAAACACATAAGTATTCTTCTCAGAGCTTGTATGTTTAATGTCATTTAAGTGACCAAACTTAAATTGAGAGTACAGAGGTGTCTTCTTGATGAAGAGTTTGTCAACAGATTTTGGATTACTTCCAGAGGAAGATTCATATCCAATACCTCTTCTGTTGTTCCCACTAACACCATAGATCATAGAAGCCATCTTGCTTCTGTCTATACTCTTAGTAAGGAATCTCTGAAAGCTAGAGTCATATTTTTCTAAAATGTTTTCACATGACTTAGCCTCAGATTCAGATTCTTGTTGAGTTATTTCAAAGTCATTTTTGATTTTCAGATTAATTTCTTTTTGCTCAACAAGTTCTGTCTTCAGAAGATCAATCTCAGATTCAAGATTGCTTTTCAGCTTCTTGTATTTGAGTTTGATATTGTTATAGCTTTTCAGAACTTCTGATAAAACTTTGACAAGTTCTTCTTTAGTAAGTTTAGCCATTACCTCTTCAGCGTCATCGTCAGATTAAGAATCAGATTCAGATCCTGAAGTTCCTTCTTTCTGATCTTCTGTGCTGGCCATCAGTGCAACATTAGCACATTCTTCTTCTGATTCAGAAGATGATTCAGATTCATCTGAGTCATCCCATGTTGCCATCAGAACCTTCTTCTTTTTGTTAAACTTCTTCTTGGGTTTTTCTCCTAGAAGTTTGGGGCAATCATTCTTGTAATGCCCAGGTTCTTTGCACTCATAGCATACAACTTCTTTCTTGCCAGATCTTCTGTGCCCAGAAGATTCCTTTCTATGATTAGATTTTCTGAAGTTGTTGAACTTCTTTCTCTTGTGCTTCCAGAGTCTGTTGATCCTTCTGGACAGCATGGATAACTCATCTTCTTCTTCAGAAGAAGATCCTTCAGAGCTTTCTTCAATAACCTGCAAAACTTTAGCAGATTTATTAGATTTTAAAGCAATAGATTTACCTTTCTCTTTCTTCTGAGGTTCATCTTCCTCAAGCTCAATTTCATGGCTCCTTAGTGAGCTGATGAGTTCTTCTAAAGAGATCTTGTTCAGATCTTTAGCCATCTTCAAGGCAGTCACCATTGGTCTCCATCTGTTAGGTAGACTTCTGATGATTTTCTTTACATGATTTGATGTGGAGTATCCCTTGTCCAGAACCTTTAGACCAGCTGTGAGGATCTAAAATCTGGAGAACATAACTTCAACAGATTCAGAGTATTCCATCTTGAAGGCTTCATACTTCTGGATCAGAGCCAGAGCCTTTGTTTCCTTGACTTGAGAGTTTCCCTCATGAGTCATCTTTAAGGATTCAAACATGTCAAATGCAGTTTCCCTGTTTGTAATTTTTCATACTCAGTATGAGATATTGCATTCAACAATATTGTTCTGGCCTTGTGATGATTTCTAAAATCTTTCTTTTGAACGGAAAAATCCTTTTTGTCTGTGTTCTTGTGTCTAGCATAAATAAGGAAAGAGACGTTTGATTTACTCCAACGGATATAATCTTTGAATATTTCTTCTTCAGTTTTCAGCAAGTTCATCAGAGTCTAATTGGGTCAGAGTCTTCTAATGATGATCAGAGTCTTGCTGAATCAGAGTCTTCTGCAGCATGTGTGTTTTCAGCGTGTTTAATATCAGAGCATATTTGAGACAAAATATCAGTACTGGCAGCTTTAGTACTTTCAGAATCTTCTGTAGAAACTATGCTTTGAAAAGTTCTTCATACAGAATTCTTCTTAGCTTCAGATGCTTCTGACTTGCTTCAGATCCTTCTGGAGCTTCTGCTTCAGATCTTTCTGGAGCTTCTGCTTCAGATCCTTCTAGAGCTTCTGTTTCAGAATCTTTTGGAGGCTACGCTCAGAATCTTCTGTTGGCAGCAATCAGAATCTTCTAATGTATGCATCTGGCACTACAGAGTCTAGCTAATTACTTGAGTTCAATTCTGATTTGCTTCTGGAGTGTTAATTTCTTTACTATCTGCAGTAAAAACTCTCAAGCAAATTTTAGAGTATATAATTCTTAAATACAAAATTTCATAATAGTTATCATCAAAACATAGAGATATTATTAAGAAGCAATATGTGTTCTAACACGTGGTCCCTCCAATTTTTTTGTTGCTTCCTCATCGAAAACAACGTTGCAGTATGGACAAAGGATTATCTTGGAATCATTAAGCTTACAATGATTAAGGAAATCAATTAATCTCTCTTCAGACTGGGGATAGAATGTTTGCATGTCAGAATCTGTAATAACGGAGATCTGCTCGCCCTTGTCAACTTCCATGTTGGATTCATCAACAGCCTCGACTATCAAGATCTCCACCGGCTTAGCATAATGAGCATCTTCAATTTTCATGGGATCTAAATAGACCTTCATGGACGACTTAGGCTTTTCGCCAAACTGCAACCTTCCCTCCTTCAGCGCTTTCTAGACCAAATCCCTGAAAAGCACACATTGAGAAGTTTTATGACCCAAAACGTTATGGTACTTACAAAAACCTCTCTTCTTCCTTTGTTCTAAAGGAGGAGTTTTCGATCCATAGGGTACTATAATTTGACCATTTGCGACCAACAAATCAAATATTTCATTGCATTTTGTGATGTCGAAAGTGTAAGTTCTAGTGGCGAACTTCTCATTTTTTATTGGTCTCGATAGCATTCTTCTCGCTTGATGGTTTTAGTAATTTATAAACATAAGGGGGTCCTAGCTTCAATTCAGCCACATTGACCTCACCTTCCTCAGAACAATCATCACCTACGTCGGAGACATAATCATTTGCCTCTATGTAAGCAACTTTTTCCTTTTTGTGATATTTATTTGTTCTAGCTTTTTCAGCTTTTAGGAGTTTGACTTGATAAACTCTATCCGCCAGTTATGCCATATCTCTAAGGTATTGAGTATCTAACTTCATCCTAATTGAATAGTCTAGGCCACCAGCGACCATTTCGATCAACTCATGCTCAGGCATTTGGGTAAAACACATTGGCTTGAGAAGTATGAACCTATTCAAATAGTCATCTATTGACTCAGGGACTATTCGCCTAACGCTCGCCAACTCTTTCAAACTAATTTTTGAAAGCCCTATATAAAACTATACATGTAATAGTCTTTTTAACTGACTCCACGATTGGACAGAGTGGGAAGGGAGAGTTGTGAACCAAGTGAAGGCATTCTTCATCAAAGAATTTAGGAAGTATTTCATCTTCAAATTCTAATTATTTGCTATGTCGCCAGGCTTAGTCTGATACCGGGCGACATGTTCTACTTCGAATCGTTGGTGTCTCCAGCGAACTTGGTAAACTGTGGAACTTTCCATCCCCTGGGTAACCCCGACTATCGAACATACTCTAACAAAGGAGATGTAAAATTTGGTCGGTGGAGTCTCACGTTAAGGTCGTTTTAGGCCAAAATTTGTTCAATCACATTTACCATATTATTCTATCCTGCAAATTTTTTTTCTGGATATACCTAAGCACCTGGTCAACATATATATATATATATATATATATATATATATATATATATATATATATATATATATATATATATATATATATATATATATATATATATATATATATATATATATATATATATATATATATATATATATATATATATATATATATATATATATATATATATATATATATATATAATGTGTGTCTGGAAAATAATATCTAGTTACACCCATAACTAGAACACATTAACATATCTCTCTCTCCTACTTTGTGTATTCAAAAAACAAATTAGAAAGCAGCATCGTCAAAACAAACAACTAATAACACCCTAAGCAAAACTTCTACTTCGTCTCAATGTTGTTTTATGAAACAAATCTTAAAACTCCATTCATTCAAAATACTCTAAATCCTACTCGTTATTCATTTTGTTATGTTTTGTCTGTACCTTTTCCTATTCTTGGTTGTGTTGATATTTTAGGATGTGCTTAAGTGGCTGAATTTAGACGTTCTATTTAGTTGTCGATGGACAAAAAAATCTCGCCACGTAGATGCCTTTGCTTATGTTTGGTCGGGTGGTATTATGCATTGTATGACAAAATGATTGAAAGAAAATGAGCCAAGTGAACGAAAATTCTTTATGAAATATGTAAAAGCATGGTAAAGATAAAATTTTGCTCGTGATGACATTTAAATATGGTTTGGAAGTAAAACAGACCAGGACACTTGTCCGTACAATTTAAATTAGACATGAAATTGAGAGTCAGATTATGTTATTTAGATGATTTAAAGTAAAAGAGTAACTTTTATAATAATAAAATATAATAAGATTAAGGTGTATACGCATGCGAGCTATATCTCTTTTAATGAGTTATAAATCTTTATTTTGAGTTGGTTGTATATATATGTTATTATTATTTCTTGATTTCAATATTTATCCTTTAATTATGAGAGAACTTGTTATGTTATTGTACATTTTTGCTAAAGAATAGTATACTCGTATTAGTTTTGTTTTGTATAATTGAGAATTATAAAAATTGATCTCTTACGACCAATATTTTAGATACTAATGAATTTGAAGATGTAAAATGAAAATGGTGTGATCTTTTACGTAATCACGTGGAGAAAATTGATTTTTTATCAAACTTGTTAATTTTACTTTAAATCATCTATTTTACTTTAAATTACATATCTTTTTAAATTTTTAAAGTGTAGTATTTTAAATAATATCTTGAATCAAATTTTGGAACTTACAGTGTTGATTCTAAATAATATCGTGTGAAAATTAGAAGACTATCCATCACATTTTATAAATGAAAACTTTCGATGTACCAAAGTATAATCATATCAGGCCCTTTATGTGTAAAAAATTCATATTGTCACAAAATACAACTTGATTCTTAGCATTGCACCAAAGTTTTCCCTAATCAAAATCCATCACATTATTTTCCTCAAAGAAAATAATCTGATTCAGAGATCATCATGATCATCGGTCTCAATTCCTAGAAGTTTAGCCAAAAGCCCGCTCTCATATGCTTCGACAGTATCTGGAAATCAGACAGTGAACAATGAGGGAATTTCAAAGACAAACATATTTTGTTTCAAAGTGTTAAAGGCCACTTTTCCATTGTTAAAAAAATACTTACCGTCTGATCCACCGAGGTGTTTCCCGTTGATGAAAACTTGTGGCACAGTACGCTTCCCAACAATGTTAGTCAAAACATCCTGAATCTTTGAACCATCATCTGCAAGGAAAAAGGTTTTACTATCTTTGTAACAGCAATGGCCCCTTAACATTTATCGAAAAATCAGTATCATTATACTGCCTTAATTTTCCTCCCTACAAATCATTCTTTAATCGAAATGGGATGCTTACCTAACCCTGTTTTCCATCAATGTCAATTAAGAATTATTTTTTTGTAAGAAATGGATCAGTTCTGACAAACGTTGAATTGAATCTCATGAAATAGCCCAAGTTCATAAAAAAAATTTCATATAATTAAAGCAAACGAATTTTTCAGTATACCTCTCTCATCAAGCTCCACAACATATGGAACTTGGTTCAATTCTTTGAAAACAGCTTTTGCTTTTTTACAGTACCTGTATATGCAACAAATAAATCAGGAAAAATAAAAGAATGAATAACCCCATACCTCAATTCATGAGGTTTTTCTTTTACAAATTTTGTGATAAGTTAAGAAACAATTGCAAGTAATCAACAAGTATGAACAATTATATTGTGCCCCAAATTTCTTTATCCGTACAGTCCTATTCAAGACATAAACCACCGGAAAATGTTCAACCACAACACGATATGACCCAAACATAAATCCAATTCCAATTTCTAAACACCAAACAATGAAGCTTTGAAGAATCCACGAATAAGATTTACAGATATGAATGAACTATTGAGCATAGAAGAACAATGGTAGTATGCATTCAGAAATAATATGGCAGCAGTTAAAATTTCACATCACAAACATGAACACTATCAGAACAGATCTTGTAATTCTTGACTTGGCCATTGAAATTCTAAATTCTATGTATCGTGCATTTCATAAAACGGGCTATTTCAGAGAAACTAGATAAATAAAATTAAGATTTACAATGGGTGAATAAAAACTGCAAGACCCCTTGAGCGGGGGAAAACTAAACATAAAAGTTGGAATCAAACCAACCAAATCAACATAATCGAAAACATGTTCATTCCAAAATAAAAAGAACAAAAAGAGCATGTTCTAATAGCAAACACAATTCTAAAGTAAACTGATAAATATTGGCGCTAAGGTAATAGCATTGTATCTCAGAATTTGGGTTGAACCTAACTCAAACCTACAAAACCGGCTTGTAAGGTGAGGATTGTCCCCAGTTATAAACACAACACATATCTCTAAACAATGTGGGACTAAATCCACCCCTTCAAACTCAACATAATAAAGTGTTGGGGGCTGCAATTAAGGTGGCTAGGGGCGAGCGCAATTAAGGCAGAAATTCCAACATAGTAGAACTCAAACAAACCGTTGTAGTTCCACTAAACAATATTTCACAAAAAATCTCAAATCACGTAACGTAGCAGAAATTGAACCAACTATTATTTTCCACTATTGAAAACACAAACAAACACACGAGAACAAAATGACCGATCACAGAGTTCGGTCAATTGTGCATACATCTCCAACATCAATATACAAGCCATATTAAACGAATGGATGCGGTGTTTATACTTACGGACAATAGGTCTTGGAAAAGATGACAATCTTGTGGGAGTTAATGGTCTTGTCAACAAACTCACCCACAGATGAAGCTGAAGCTGAACCCCAATAAAGAGAAATCACTAAAGCTATCATCACCGTCATCATTGTTACGTTGATTCTTGCAGATGCAGCCATGATTTGAGCAACTAAAATGTATGAATAACCAAAATCAGATTAGTAATTTGTCAACTACACATCATGATAACAGATGAAAAAATCATATTTTAAGCAAACCAAACATCATAGGAAAAAAAACATCAACAAAAAACTGTTTTTTACAAGTGAATTACTAAACTGTGCCTGAAGATACATAGTAGTATTGAATTACGCAATTGAAAGAAAAGATCCAAGAGAAACTAGAAATGAAATTGAAATTGAAAATGAAAAAATGGAAGAAGCATGCTTACGGCGATTGTGCAGCACAGTGAGTGGGAGGTTGTGAAATGGATCTGATGTCTGCAATCGGAAATTGTGATCGGTGGAGATTTTGGTTGATTTGTGTGGCTAATACGACGCCGTATTCCCTATAAACATTAAGCATAACTTTAATGAATTTTTTAATGGTATTTTATGAAAAAATATTTTTTTACTGTATCAAAAAAGTTGTTTTTTAAAAATAAAGTATTTCTTGAAATTTGTAGTTTTATATTTACATAATATAACACATTATCTTTTTTTAAACAAAACAATATTGTATTAAAAATTGCAAGAACTATTTGTAATCCTTTCGAAATCTTCTCATCACGTGTGAACTCTTCTCTTGATAAATTATAAAAGATTTAAATTGTAATTGTAAATGCATTAAACGGCTCTCAATAATTCATATTTAATAAATAACGAGTATCTTATTCTCTCTCTATTATATATAGAGAAGACACCAAATTCAGTTACTCAATTTTAAATTCAATTTTCATTCACTCTTCTTTCTCACATACTGATTTGAGTGTTAGAGTTATAACTTTGCGGGTCAGCTCTCTCTATGTTTTGTTCTAGAATGGAACAATGGTGTCGTCTGTGAGAATCAACTTTTGATTCTTGCATTTTCCACGGTTTCAAGTTTGCTCTTCAACTCATTGGTTCATAACCTTCTCAGGTCACTAAATCAAGAGCAATCAGAATTAAACACGAAGATTTGTCGTGTTTGATCCAATCATTCATCGTTTTAACTTTGATTCCTCGAACATATTTATAGTTCATAGGCTTCCAAGTGATGACTCGATCAAAAGTTACTTGTTTTATTGCTGCTCGAGAAGTTGTCATCATTGTTGCAGGTCAAACAGTGATCAAACAACCACTTCTTCCACCTTCGCAGCAAAACATTGTGAATCCAGAAATTGGGGTTTTGTTGCATCTAGATATAGCTCAAACTCCTCGGATAGTTAGATATGTCTGATTGCCTTCGATCAAACCTCAAATTCCACCTCCAGTTGCCTAACCTGAAGCCTTACCTAGTTTTATGTTACTACAAGCAAACCTTAGATTACAGGGCGCTAATGAGCTACTGCACACATGTACAACATCGTTCAGTAGTAGAACTTGCAAGAAATCGAGGAAAGGTTTTGCAGCTCGAAGAAAGCTTTCACAACACTTCTCCACGAGCCGACCGCGACAAATAAAGACGAAGCTCCTAAATCCATAAATCAACATAGGATCAAGAAACATCAAAGTCCTTCTCAAAACCCTGAGGGAGATTGAGGGAGCCCCGCTCTTTGCCTAGATGCAACAGAGAATCAGCCAGTGAAGGTTCAGTAGAAGCATCCATTGTGCACTAGGATTTTGGAAAGAAAAAAAATCCATGAAGAAGCCGCCCCAAGTTAGGTGAGTACGGTATAAAGGCATATCTAGATGGGCACATGCAATTCATCAATGTTCGGTTTAACTACTTCAATGCGGACGAGGCATCCAAATGCAAGTTTTTTGCCTTAACCTTGGTCAGTCCAGCCAAGTTATGGTTCAATAGCCTGCCATACGGGAGCATTGAATCATGGATTGATTTGTGTAAACAGTTCTCCAAGCGCTTTACTTCCCGAGAGACACAACTAATGATTGTAGCCACCTTTAGTGGAATTATGCAAGGGAAGAAGGAAAACATGTGGTTTTATATCGACTAGTTCATACATGTTGCTATTGAAGTCGAGGACGTCGAAGAAGGACTTAAGTGTTGGATCTTCAAAGTGAATACCGCAGGACGAAGGAAGACTATAACCAAGGTATGCAGGGCCGATATGAGAAGTGAATACCGCTGAATGTTTCTAGGGAGAAGATATACCAAGACTTTGTCAACATAGATTTCTGAAAATAAGGAATCCAACTCCCTTACCTTGTCAGAGAGACATCTCAAACTGATAAATCAAAGTACTATCGCTTTTATAAAGGTCACAAGCATAACACCAACGATTGCATCCAACTAAAGGATGACATTAAAGAGTTTATAAAGAGAGGTCGGATGACTAAATACGTGAAAGGGGGCAAAAAAGATAGGGAAAAGTCTCCTAAAGGTAAGCTCCCCTCGAACGCTGCAGATGTCAGAACCAGTGGTGAGAGCAAAGAGGCCAACAGAGGAAAGTGCTCGTACATCGTTTCCTTCACTGGAAGTGCTTCCCGTGAAAACCTCCCCTCCAAAAGGAAGATGATTAAGATGATAGTCGTCCACGAGAAGGATGGAATCATTGAAGATTCCTGACCTGCCTATGTTGGGCTTCCGGTGTAACACTCTTTTCTACCCCACAAATATAATGGCAAATCAATCATATTTATCAGAGTAAAATATTGAACGCAATAAAATCATTTCAAAAGGGCACACATTTCTCAATAATTCAAATATAGTTAATACTCCGTAAACAACAGGTTTTCCCAAAATTACTCAAAAGGCAGCGAAACTCAAAAAGGAAAAAAATCCAAAGTTTTCCTTGCGTAGTAACTTAATCAAAATAACAATAATCAATAAAACATGGTTCAACTCAAAAGACCTCAACCCGATGTTACACTATCAGAACAAGACCCTCTAAGTCAACCACAATGGCCAAAGACCCAAAAACTTCAAAAAGTCCTCGATGGAATCCACGGCTAAACCTAGTCATCTGCACGTTACCCACGTGGAGGCAACATTCAAACAGACAAGGTGAGTAAAACGATTCATAATAATCAATATAGGAATCAATATATAAAACAGCGTCTTTTTCATATTCAATATCATCATAATCGTCAAGGAAGATCAAAGGCCACAACATTATAAATTATACCAAATTGTCACATAATTGCAAATGCAATAGGACTCATGCATGTAGTACCAATCAACAAAATTAGATGGACACCGGGCCATCAACCCTCCATAGATCCACAACAGTAGGATCGATTCTACACGAGAACCAAAGCACAAAAAAATACCTCACATCTGCACAATGAGACTGAAGCTACAAGAATTAAGGTCCTAGACCGAAGTCCAGAATGCATATGAATGCATGATGCACACGTATAATCCTCATAATAAACTCATTAGATGCATCATCACTCATCAAAATTGTCATAATAATCATGTCATCATAGAATCATCAAAACTCATGAAATCAACATCATAACTCATCATCATTACTCATAGGAATCATCATACAATCATGTATTAATCTTAGAAGAATCATAGTCATACTCATGGTAATTCATCAAAGAAATCACAACATCAAGACATCACTGCACAAGATCAGAATTCGTGAAACTCAGCTACGTTCGCTAGCAAGTCTGTTGTGCGAGTCTAGGGCAAATGTTCGTTGTGCGAAGGATTCTTCGCTGTGCAAACTTACGATTACAACAAATCGCTGTTACCCACCAGCACCAAAACCAGCCCAAAAACCTCTACGATTTCCTTCCCCAATGCCCTAAAAACATCCCTAAATCATTCCTAAGATATTACAGCGATAAAGGCACAAAATCTATGACCTATTAGGTCAATCCCGTACCATATTTACGGTTCAAATTCCCATAATTTCTTACAAATACCCCACAGTCATTAAAGTTCTCATAATCACTTACCGTATACGGTTAAACAACCTTAACAACAGCGTTTGGCCACGAAGGCCTAATTTCCTTTACTCCCAAATCAGCCTCAAACCTATTAGACCATCAATTCAAATCTATCAAACTCATTAAACTCACCAGAAAGGCAACAATAATTCAATACTCAAAATCCCTAAACCCTTAAATCAACTCTAAACCCTTAAATCGACTTTAAATACATTGAATTACACATTGAAAACAATGAAGGCAATACTCCTCATACCTTAATTGCCGACTCTAAGCCTTTCTCCTTGATTCTTGGAAACCTCGCGAAGTCTTGCCTCAATCCTCATCCTTAGAGCTCTAGCCTCTATTTCTTCTCTTTTCACGGTCTAACAAGAACGAATCCTAATTCCCTCAAAATTCCTTTTTGTTAAACCTAACTTTGGGCCTTAAAATTGGGCTTTCCAACTTCACCCTCACTAACTCCTCCCCAATTGACCACTTTGCCCTTAACTCACTTATATTTATTTAAATTAATAATAATACTAATATATTCATATTATATACTATTATTTAAATAAATAACTCAAAATCCATAATTCCCAATATTCACACCAACCACCAAAAATCACCAAAAATGCGAATATTCATATTTAAATAAATTAAATAAATATTCCAAGATTTTGGGGTGTTACAACTCTCCCCCACTTAAAAGAATTTTCGCCCTCGAAAATTACCTCAAGGAAACAGAGTCGGATACGACTCCCTCATCTGATCCTCACGCTCCCAAGTCATACTCCCTCCAGCTGGTCCTCTCCAAACTACCTTTACCAAGGAAATCTCTTTACCTCGTAATTGCTTCACTTCTCATTCATCAATCCGAACTGGCAATGCCTCAATAGTCAAATTATCTCTCATTTGTACATCATCTACCTGATCACATGTGATGGATCTGGAATGTACTTCCTCAACTGAGACACATGAAACACATCATGCAAATTCGCAAGCGACGATGGTAAAGAAATCTGATATGCTACTTCTCACACCCTTTACAAAATCTGATACGGACCAACAAAACATGGTGTGAGCTTTCTGGACTTCAAAGCTCGGCCAACACCAGTTATCGGCGTAACTCTCAAAAA